CATTGAGAGCACTCTGCTGGGCACGGTCTTCCAGAAAGAGAATTGGCATTTCTGTGGCTTATTTTGGCTCTATATTCGATCTTAAAGTCGTACTCTTGAAGTCGTTCAATTCATCTGACGATTTGACCCTTTTGGTTTTTGAACTATATCAATTACTTAAGATCTGCATGATCGGTACAAATTAAGAATTTTCTTCCATATAGTTATTGGTAAAAGTGTCCTATCTATTTCACAACTGCCAGGCGCTCTCTTCTCGTGACGCAGTTATTTCGCTCATGTTTCGAGAGCACTACTAAAATAACCCAGTACTCTTTCTTTTGACCCTTGAATATGTTAAAATATTTCTTTAATTCCTACATTACTGGCATCAGTATCCAGAAAAAATTCTCCCTCTGGTAGTGGGTAGCCTAGTATTGGCGCTGTTGTTAAATGTTTCTTTAGTGTTTTAAAGGCAGTTTGGCAGTCTTTATCCCAGCAGAGTTTTCTTGATTCTTCTGTGAGTCATGTTATTGGCTTAGAAATATCTGCAATCTTCCTGATAAATCTTTGATAGTACGTAAATAGCCTAAAAAACCTTCTTATTTGATGTTTATCACGGCCACTCTTTGATAAAAGCGACTTTTTTCTTATCTACAGCCATGCCATCCTTGCTGACTATATGACCCAGGTATTTTGCTTTATTTTTAAATAGTTAAGCATCAGTTGGACAACTTGAAGTCCTTTAAAAACACCTTTTAAATATTTTAGATGTTCATCAAATGTCTTCCCCAAGACTATGTCGTCTAAATAATCCAGGCATGATTGCCAGTATACCCTCTCAAATGTCTCAACAACGATGATGCCAAAAAAATCGCTGATGCTGCGAAATTATTATTTCAACCAGTCACTGTGTCAATGTTCATCGGAGATTTATGATCCAACCCTCATTAGCTAGTACAGCAAAAAATTCGTGAAAATTTCTACTTCAGATAAATTTTTATTTGCATCAGACTTTAATGAAAAGCATAAGATGGCAAAAGAAATACAAAAAAAAATAGTTCCGCATTAAAACCAGGTCCAAGCCAATACAAGGCACCTTCTTTAAACTACAAGCGCCCGAATTACAAACAGAGGAAAAAGGAAGATACATACAGACCCTCCAGGAAAATGGCGAGATTTCAGAAAAAAGGATGGGAAATGAAGAACAAGAAATATGCCAAAAATTAGGTTCAGAACATTGTTTAAGAATAGTTGGCATAAACTAACAAAAAATAAAATTATCCAGGGTTACAAAATACCTTTTAACATACCTTCCACATAATTTAAAAATGCAAACAGATATAAAAATAGAAATTAAAGAACTTTTAAAAAAGGGAGCTATAAAAAAATGTAAGTTCAAAAAAGGGTAATTTATTTCTTCATATTTTTTAAGGAAAAAGCCTAACGGTTTATATAGATTTATATTAAATCTTAAAAGGCCAAATAAATATATCACTCCCTTCAAGCTTGAAGATCATAGAGTAGTACAAAATGTAGTATTTAAAAATTATTTTATGGGTACTCTTGATCTAAAAGATGCCTATTTCTTATTGCCGGTTGATAAAAATCATAGAAAGTACTAAAGATTAATTCGTAACAAATGTATGTATGAACTTTGTTGCCTTCCATTCGGTTTAAATACGGCTCCGTATGTGTACACAAAATTACTGAAACCGGTAATACAAAAGTTATTGGTGAAACGTTTGAATCCTGCAAACAAAATATTGAATATACCTTAATTATTTAAAAAATCTGGGTTTCAAAATAAATTATGATAAATGTACCTTAATATCCTCACAAAAATGTAAATTTTTGGGTTTTATATTTAACTCTTGAAATATGAGCCTTTCTAAATATGAATCTTGCCTTACCTTACCTTTCGAGAAAAAACAAAAACAATTGCATTATTGAAAAAATTTAAAACTATAAAAACATGTACTGTACGAAAATTTTCACAGTTAATAGGTACATTGATCTCTTCCTAGCCAGCAGTTCCATATGCATTGTTACATACAAGATAATTTGAAATAGAAAAATATAGAGCTCTTAAAAACTGAGATTACGTCTCATCTCTACGAGTAATAATTAGTGCAACCCTGGTGCAGGAATGTAACTGGTGGATTTCAACTCTTGCCAAACACCACAAACTTTTTTTAACACCCCGGATTTACTCTTGAAATATTTACAAGTGGAGAAAGTACGGGAGGACATTGGAGAGAAAGAATAGGAAAAACACATTAACTACCTAAAACTAGTAGCCGCATTTTACGGTCTAAAGTGCTATGGTAAAATGGCTAGTAATTGTCACATACTCTTAAGAGTCGATAATATTACAGCAATTTCAGCAATAAATCGAATGGGCAGTATTAAATATTATGCATTTAAATGATATAGCATATAAAATTTGGCAATGGTCCGGAAAAAATAAAATATTTTTATTTGCCTTATATGTAAATACCCAAAATCTAGAATTAAAATCAATGATACGGAATTTTCACTTAATGAAATTATTTTCAAAGATATCGTTGCAAAATTAGGCGAACCTGAAATCGATTTGTTTGCATTTAACATTAATAACATGTCAAAAATACGTTTCATGACACCTAGATCCGGATTGTGTAAATATTCATGCTTTTACAATTACATGGTCTAACATGTTCTTTTATGCTTTTCCTCCTTTTTCTATTATACTTAGAGTTTTAAATAAAATTATGAAAGAAGCCGCAACAGGTATAGTTGTAGTACCTTATTGGCCTACACAACCGTGGTTTCCCCTTTTTAAAAAATTAATTTCTTCCAAAATACTATATTATGGACCATCTAAAACGTTAATTATTTCTCCTTCTAGAACACTACGCCCTCTAAACAAGAATCTTATCCTGGCTGTCGCGAGACTCTCAGGAGGTCTCTTCACAAAAGAAACTTACCAACTTCAAGTATAACAACATTAATATCGTCCCTCACTTTAAACACTTAACGCCAGTATAACACTTCCTTATCAAAATGGTGGGACTATGCAATTTCTCACAATTTAAAAATATTTAATCATTTGGGTTCTGTTTAGAATTTCTACAACACGAATTAGAAAAAGGCGCATCATACTCTACTCTAAATACTCATCGAGCGGCATTAGCACTTATAATAGAGATACACAAAGACGAAGGAAAACTTATAACCCGTTTCATGAGAGGAGTATTCAAATTAAAACAAATTTTTTCCAAAATACACAAATACTTGGGAACCTCAACAAGTTTTATCTTATTTGAGCAAACTTCATTCACTTTCAAAACTCACACTTGAGAATGTAACCCTAAAGATGGCCATGTTAATGGCACTTACTTCTGCACAAAGGGTGCAAACTCTATCCAAAATTAAAGTATGTGATATTCATCTTCATGGAATCGAAAAAATTGAAATAGTTATTACCGATCTATTAAAAACAACAGCACCAAATAAACATGAATCAGCTCTGATATTTCCTTTTTTTTAAGAAAAACCGGAATTATGCGTGGCTTCAGTAATTTTACATTATCTAAAAATCACTGAGATCAATATTTGTTTCTAACACACAAACGACCACATCAAACCGCAACCACTCAAACAATAAGTAGATGGCTCAAAACCATTCTCGCTAAAAGTAGAATCGACATAAAATTATTTCAAACACAGCCATGCTTCAACTTCGGCAGCTGCTAGGTATGGAGTGGATATAGAAACCATTAGAAAAACTGCAGGGTGGAGTGAAAAATCCCAAATGTTTAACAAATTCCATAATAAAAGCATTAAACCAATATTTGGGAGAACGGTACTCTCCTCTATGACATAATTTTTTTTGCAATTATGTATAAATATATTATGTAGGTATATTGACTATCTTTTTATGTTGTTTGTTACTAGAATATATTTAATTACGTAATAATATTTATATACATATTTTGTATAAATTGTCTTTTTGACAGATTATTATTATTATTATAATTATTATATTCACTGTTATTAATTAATTAAAAAGCAATATACTATTAAAAAACTGTTATTTTCGTATTTTATTTAATTTCCATTTCACACTAAACAACACTTCCTTCATATCGCATTTCTTTAAACAGCTACAAAGTGTTATATATTGGAGAACAGACAAGTAAAATATAATTAAAAAATTGAACGACTTACCTTAAGGAAGTTCGATCTAAATTATATGAACTTGTCTGTTCTCCAATATATAACCTCCTACCCCTCCTAATACTTTTTAGATTTATGCTTTCCAACCCCTTTTGGTATCATGTACGAGAGGTTTATGAATACTGGGTGAGAAAAATTCATTTCTATATACGCTGTGGCACAACAATATCACGAGAGATATACTACAAAGTGTTATATATTGGAGAACAGACAAGTTCATATAATTTAGATCGAACTTTCTTAAGGTAAGTCGTTCAATCTTTTAATTATACTTTTCATAGTCACGTACAGGACATATCAATATGGCTCCTGTGACTTATTGTTTATTATATGTTTTTTATGTATGTATATTTTTAAATTATATTTGTAAACTTATTGATTCATAATAATAAACATTCATTCATTCGTTCAGTCTACCGGTCACTGGTTCTTAAACTCTAAAGCCAATCTACCTAATTTAGTTTGATCAATAATTGCTTGCAATCATATTTTCAACAATTTTATTATTGAAAAACTTTTTTTAGCTTCAGCTGTATTAACTGGAGTCAATATATTATTTGAAGCACGATATAAACATTAGGATAAAAGTTTTTATTATAATGTCATTGGCCCACTTGTTTTTCCATATTAGTGTTTTTATTTCAGATACATTTTTAATAACTTTATTCAATGTCAGAGATAAAGGGAGAAATTAAAAATCGTAATTTAGCCACCCTATCAAATAACTTCCCAAATCTTATTTCCATAAAAAGATAATTATAAACTGTTAAGAAGATAGTCCTTTGATAATATTCTTTATATGCATGGTATTATGGTATGTTTTCTTGCTTGATTTGTTTTGAGAAACGACGCAGTTATGTCAATATTTTCCTAGTCTAGAAATGCTCTTAATTTTTTAAATATTTTATTAAATTCGCTTGATGCCACTTTAAAAAGTATATTTATCATTTACGTCAAATAAGTCACATGTAGGACTTTATTTTTTAAAAAGAGTGTTAACAATTTTTGACAAATAAAAATATTTATGTTCTCACTTAGCCCCAACTCCTATCAATATTTCAGTAATTAGATCTCTGAAAGTGTTATTATATAATTATATTATCTATATCTAAACAAATAAGTCAACCGACGTAAGATCGGGTGAGCCCGCAGGTCATTCAATTTATCTGTGTCTTAACCAATAATTTATGTCTTTTAATTCCACAAGTGTTTCTACACGCGTTTCAATCAACACTCTTGATCTTTAGCTAATCAACGCTATGGTTTGTAGTAATTAATGTTCTCAGCTGTTCTCTTTTAACCTGCGGATACATTGTTCGTTACGTTGCGTGCAAATCCAGGTCGTAATCGTGAGTGAAATATCCGCGATGGGCGTCAATTTGGCCTAGCCGATTTCCATTAAACCATTCCCTACCGGCATAGAACACATCAACAAAAAATATTTAGGTCCGTGAGTCTTTTTTTTAACCTCAAATACTGTAGTAACTAATTGCATACCATTGTTAGGTTTTATAATGATGTTGTTAATAATATAATAAACTGGATATGACAAAAAAATAAATAAGTAACAAGAAACTGTCAATATTTTTTTAAATATTATTTTATTAAACTCTGTAAAATAATGTCAAAAAGAATACCAAAATTTATCATCATCAGATAAAACGAATGGGGCATGTTCAAAAATTTTTAAATTTTTTTTATGAATAGTAGAGTAAAATAAAACTACATTTTTTAAAATTTTTTTTTATCTATTCATTTGCCGGAGTTATGAATTTTTTTAAAATTTATGACGTCACCGGGAATAGACCAATAGGAGCTAGCGCAAAACGTTGCCGGCTAGAAGGTTTACGAGAACTGATGTACGTTCGTTTGTGTACTCCTTCTTACTTTTAGACTTCTAAAACATCGTTAAACAAATATCTTTTAAATATATAATATCAAATGTTTTTTGAAAGTATTATTTCTGTTTAAACTTTTACCATATTTAAAGTTTCATTGTTTTAAAAGTCACTTAATAATTCAGAAAATGGCAAAATGGCAGCACTGTGTATGGCATCTGTCATCATAGTGTCTCGATCAAGAATTTATTTGGAATTTGAGTGTTTAATTTTGTACTTTTTATAAATATTATGACTACGAAAAAGTGTTTTGTTCCAGAATGTGATATTGATTCACATTCATCTTCAACAATATTTATTAGTGTTCCTAGAAATTTGGAAAGAAGAAAATCAACCTTCTACTAGCGATGTTTCTCGTGAACTTTTTAATAAAAATACACCGGATTATCAAGATGTAGCAGCAATTTCTGCTAATTGTCCCCTTCAGGAAATTGAAAATGAGGCTACTATAAATTCTTAGGCTGGAAGAAAATGCAAAATCCTGAAAGTTTTGAAGATACCGAATTTATTCATCATTTTGTGGAAGAACTAGTGATAAAGAAAAATGTGGGTATTTAAACAAACTGGTTCCTGGATCCCATATAATGGCAGATATGGGTTTCAGAATATTCAGCTACTTGAAAACATGGGATGCACTTTAGTAAAGCCACACCTAGTGTATCACAGAATGAAAAAAGTTCTCCAGAAGATGTACAATTAAGTAAAAGAATAGCATCTCTAAGAATACATGGGGAAAGAGTTATAAGAAGGGTTAGTTAATTTAACATGTTAAAACCACATTCGTGTGTGAATTTTAAGCAAGTACATTTACTTAGTAATATCTGCATAATTGCTTTTTAACTTACAAGAACCTATTTTGTAAGAGTAAATATTAATTTAATAAACTTTTTTGTTTGTTTTTTAATTTAATTTACCTAATTATCACATTTCAGGGATTATGAGTTTTTAAACAGCCAATGTAATTTTTTATAAAATTTTAACTTTTCGAGCAAATCAAAGAGGAATGAGTAACCTGTATATGCATAGATTTTTTTGGGACTAAAACTACCAAAACAAAGGCACCTATTTACAGCAGTTTAAAATTAAACATTTTGACAAAAACGCCTATGTCACAGTGATAAATATTAAAAACAACAAGTTCAGTTGAATGTGGTAGCAAAGTCTATATATTCCAATAAATCGGGTAACTACATGTGGTATCACTGGTGATAAATTTAAAAATATCACAATTCTTGCCACCTTTTTCAAAAAACCAGAAAGTGTGCCTTCTTATCAATCCTTTATGAAAATGACAACAGTGATAAATGTGAAAAAAAAAAAACATTTAAAGTTGCTATTCGTTATTACGATAGTAAAACATGTTTGCAGTTCCGTTTATTTTTTATGAAAATCTAGGTAAAAACAACCAATGTCAAAGGGTTATAATTTTTTTTCTGTCGAACCAAATATATCACAAAATTAAAAATTGATCATAGGTCAAGCTAAAGTAATACCTTTATTGATAGTAGCTTTAAAAAAGGAGAAAGAATAATATTGACTTAAGTTATTATTATTAACATTAATGATTTTTAATAAAAACTCTTCAATTATTGTTTACAAACAAAAACATAAAAATCTGTAAAAATTTTATTTATTAACCTTTTAATAAAAAATGAGAAAAATGAAGTAAAAAACAATTTACAAATAAAAATATATATACAAATCCTAAGAATATAAAAGTACTGATTTATTTTCCTGTAGTGGGTGAAGAGGTTTCTTTAACAATCTAGTCAAGTGTACATCAATATTTACGCATTTTGATAAATTAGAGCCTTTCCAATAACACTGAGTAGATGTTACAGATGTTTCCTCACTTCTTCTATGAAGCCACATATTTACAACCAACTGAAAAAAATAAAAGGGTTAGATATGCAGTTACAAAATAAGTATATAACCAGCTACAAAATGCCTTATTTTATGTAACAAGACGAGCAGAGCTTTACTAGCTCTGAACGAATCCAGTAAAGAATCTCGGATTTTCAAAACTTAAAAAAAACAATCTCACCACATTTTCACATTTTTGAAATATTATAGAGCTTTGCGAAAAAAACTGCTATTTTTAAAAATACAATTTTTTGTTTAAACAGCTATGTCTCATTTTAGGCTATTGAGTATTATAAAATAAAAAATTACGGGATGCTTTGTTAGCTTCAAACGAATCCAGCAGAGCACCCCAGTTTTTTTTTTAAACCACACCACGTTTTTTGGCTCCTACAATATTAAAAAATATTCGAAATTTGGCATTTTAAAAAAAATTCGCAATTCCTTGCTGACTTCAAAGTTTTTTTCTGAAAACAAATGTACTTACCACATTTTTAGGATTTTAAAACAGCCTAAACATGTGTCATAAGTAGTTGTTTTTATATATAAAAAAACAAATTAAAAAACTGAAGTGTCCTGCTGAGTTTGTTCCAACAAAGCACCCTGTATTATTTAAAAATAGCAATTTTTTTAGTAAAGTTTTACAATATTTCAAGAGTCTAAAAATGGAGTGTGGTTTTTAGAACAAAGCTTTAAAAGACCGAATTGCTCTGATGGCTTCTTTCGAAGGTTAGCAAGAAGCACCATGTATTTTTTAAAAATATAATATTTCAAGTGCATAAATATATGGTGTTGCTGTTTTTTACAGAAAAAACTTTCTAAAACAGAGGTGCTTTGCTGACTTCGTTCGAAGCTATAGAGCATTTTAAGTTTTGCAAAAAACGAGAAGCATAAAATTTTTGAAAAGGGTATAAAAATAGCCTAAAAATATGGCATATTTTTTAACTCAAAATTTCATAGGTGCTCTGCAGCATTCTTTGGTATCATAATTATTACTAGATTCACTAACAATATCTATTTCTAGATTATTTTAACACTTGCTGCGATTACAAAAAATGTCTCTTTATATGTCAAAATTAGAAAAAAAAAATATTTATAGGAATAAAGGGCCTTATACACTATTTATTATATGTAATATAAAAACAAAAAAGCATAATAAATATTACAAACCTTGACATGCATTGTGCACTAAAAATTTCATTTTTGTTAATTACAACAACCACATCAGAAGGTTTTTGCCGTACTTTATGTTTAAGTGTAATTTGTCTCCTTCTCTCTTATGGAAAAAGAAATTATCCCCATATTCTTGCTTGGCAGATCTAAAAATAAAACCTGAGATAAATATGTTTTACTATAAGGTGTATTGTTCCATATAAACTGTAACTACCTACTATTAAAACAAAGTCTTACTTTTCTGACTTTTGTAAACTGAGTATTGTTAAAAAATGCAGTAATCATCTCGGTAATCACATTTTCGTTTACAATGGGTAACACACTTGATTCAACTTTTATAAATCCAGCTGATTCATATTAATATTAAAATTAAACCAAAACAAAAACTAAGGTTATGTGTTAGGTGGTGTCAATTTTAATGTCACTTAGATGTGCGTTCACTTCGACATTCTGTGTGTCGGTTTGTTCGTTGGCTTGGTTTTGTATAACAAAAAAAACTTCGACACAAGATGATTGGTCTATTCCCGATGACGTATAATTTCAAATTTTAAATTTTAATTGGGCTTAATTTAAAAACTTTTGGCTTTTTTAACGAACTGACTATTTAGAATAACTTGTATAGCGACTAACTATTACAATATAATTTATAAAACAGCATATCTCACATGTGAACATGGCCCATTCTTCAATATTCTTACAATATAACTTTAATTATAAATTATCCCCTTTAGAATAAATTTTAACCCCTGAAGCCGACCGACCTTGGCGCTCCTGGGCGATCTACAGATGATTGATGATGCCATTTGACTTACAGGCGAGAAATAGCCGGAAAACCCCACCTACCATCATCGTAAAGGTAACGCACTGCGATTTGTAATTTGGATGCCACATTAACAGCAATTAAATTACGGCTAATACAACATTCATCAAATTCTACAACAAATCATGCGATTTAAATAAAAATTTACTTAATCTGGTCTAGGATCTTAAGCGTGTGTCGCTATATTACTGAAAGGCTTGTAAATGAAAACCGGCAGCATTTATACACTGCGCTACCAAGTCAGTTATAACTAGTTACAGATAATAAAATTATATTTATATTTCAAAATGAGGTTCTTTGGTTTCAGCATTTAAAAATGACTCATAAGATTGCTACCGGTTATTTTGATGTGGAGGTAGCTGTGAGCATTAGACTATGTAAGGTTCTTGGGTTCTCCTAACTTTAGTTGGTGTACTAAAGGTCGGGCCAGAATTTAAGATTTCATATACCTAAATGTAAATGAAATGATAAAAACCATGCACATCAGTCAAATTTATTTTTAACTTCAGTAAAGAAAACTAGAGACACCAAAGTCACAAAAATAGAACACGATTAGTTCTTGTTACAGAAAATAATTACAAAATATATACATTAGTCGAGTCGTATACAATAAGTCCTATACAAAGGATCATCCAGCGCTTACAAATAAAAAATTACAATAAATGCCAAATAGGTGTACATGGATAATAGGGTGGGCCGAAAAATTAAAATATTTCATTTTAAAACGGAATACCCCCAATGTATGACTTATGATATAACTTATCTTTGTTTAAAATTACAACCAGATTAAAGGTCATCTTGTGCCCTCTACATAGCCTTCAAATTAAAAAAAATTCTCACATTTGTACTTTTTCTAAAATAATAATCATTTGCATATCAAATAGGTATTAACACATATTTTAAATACTTAAGTACTAAATAAAGTATTTAAGTTACCTTATTTCATTTCCTTATATCCTTATAATTTTACGTCAACTTGGCAGAGCAGCGTAAGCTGTCGCCAAGGTCATCACAGAATCGGTTATTGCTGCATTGTATTATTTGAGTCAGTTGATAATACGAAGCGACCGCGTAAAGTCAATCGTGTTATTTGTTGTAAGCGTATTATTATTTGTTTTTGTGTATTTCTATATTTAAAATGTCTGAAAAGTAGGCTATAGTTACCAGAAAAACAGTAGTATTCCTTATTTTGGGATATCCAAGTGAACTAAACCATAAAGTTTTTCCAACCATTAAGGATGTGTTAAAATTTCAAAAATTATCCTTTTAAAAATACAGGAAATATGGAGTAACACATCAATTCCAATAGTATCATCCAAACAAATCAGCCAAATAGTTCTAAAATATCACAGAGTATTTACAACTCTTAAGGTTTCCTAAAACCAGGCGCAATAAAAAATATAAACTAAGACTAGCAGAGTTTTTGGCTAAATGCGAAAGTAAATTATTTGATGTTTTCTCTTGTAAATGCGAACCAATTTCTTCTTGTTCGTGTGAAAAGTCGCGTAAAGTACCACCTCAAGAACAAGCATTTTTAGAAGATCAGAGGACAAATAGAAAAATGGCATTAGGACCAGTTGATGTGAAAGAAACTGGAAGAATTTTAAAGTTAGAAGAAAGAAAACAAAAGACAACCAATAGAATTACTAGTTTCACGTCAGTCATCGACAGAGAAAAGTCGACTTTAAGCACTACATTGAAAAGAAAAAGACCTAGTTTTGACGAAGTAGTTAAGGATGATCCTTCCTCCGTTTCTCCTCGTGTTCATTACCTGTGTTGAATAGAAATCTACTTAAACTTCCGACATTAGCTAGAACTTGCGATCAGTTTGGAGTCTCAGATAGACCTGCAGCAGCAATTGCATTAGCAGTCCTACAAGACGTTGGTATTGTGACCGAGGAAAATCTAACAAATGTAATTAAAAAAAAAAGTCAGAAGAGCTCATGGAAAAGCCCGTAGTTTATTAAGAAAAGAGCACACTTATACGTAAAAGCATATATTTTGATGGGAGAAAAGATAAGACATTATATCAAGAAAAAATTGATGGACAATTTCATCGCTAAAGAATTTCAGAAAAGCATGTTTCCATGATAGAAGAGCCGGGGTCCGTTTACGTTGGGCATGTGTCACCAACTTCTAGCTCTGCTAAATCAATTGCAATGAGTATTTACGAGTTTGGTGTAAGAAGAAATGTAAGTTTTGATCAGATGTCCGTTATTAGTTCTAATGGCACTGTAGTAAATACCGGCTGTAAAAATGGGACAATAAGACATCTGGAATTACAAATAAAAAAAACACTTCAGGGGTTTATTTGCCAGATACATGCCAATG